CAAAGAAAGAGTTCGTCAGGGAAAGAGTTAGTCAAACCAAGAGTTAGTGAGGGAAAGAGTTAGTCAAAGAAAGAGTTAGTGAGGGAAAGAGTTAGTCAAAGAAAGAGTTAGTCAAAGAAACAGTTAGTCAGGGAAAGAGTTAGTCAAAGAAAGAGTTAGTCAGGGAAAGAGTTAGTCAAAGAAAGAGTTAGTCAGGGAAAGAGGTAGTCAAAGAAAGAGTTAGTCAGGGAAAGAGGTAGTCAAAGAAAGAGTTAGTCAAAGAAAGAGTTAGCAAAGAAACAGTTAGTCAGGGAAAGAGTTAGCCAAAGAAAGAGTTAGTGAGGGAAAGAGTTAGTCAAAGAAAGAGTTAGCAAAGAAACAGTTAGTGAAAGAAAGAGTTAGTCAAAGAAACAGTTAGTCAGGGAAAGAGTTAGTCAAAGAAAGAGTTAGTCAAGGAAAGAGTTAGTCAAAGAAAGAGTTAGTCAAAGAAAGAGTTAGCAAAGAAACAGTTAGTCAGGGAAAGAGTTAGTCAAAGAAAGAGTTAGTGAGGGAAAGAGTTAGTCACAGAAAGAGTTAGCAAAGAAATTGTTCCCTCACTGTAAATGGGATTGCAAGTGGTGCTGGTGGAGGAGTGGCCGATGGAGTTTTGGAGGAAGTCTCGCACGAAATGCGTTTTTGAGAGATAGCAGATGCACGAAAGCCTATGTTTTTCCATACAATGTGCGTCCCCGAACGTCGATGATCTACCTCTGCTGTGCGACGGGTGCGAGACGGTCTCGTGTGTGGTCGGATCATCCTCGGATCATCCTCGGATCATGGTCGGATCGGTCTCGGATCGGTTCCGCATTGTAAATGGGGTTTCAACTGTGTTTCGTCTATGTGCGGTCGACAGAATTCCATTGTGATTTGCAACTGTAGGATCGTTCCCGCAATGTAAATGGGATTGCAAGTGGTGCTGGTGGATGAGTTGCTGATGGAATTCCATTGTGATTTGCAACTGTAGGATCGTTCCCGCAATGCAAATGGCATTGCAAGTGGTGCTGGTGGAGGAGTTGCCGATGGAGTTTTGGAGGAAGTCTCGCCCGAAATGCGTTTTTGAGAGATAGCAGATGCACGAAAGCCTATGTTTTTCCATACAAAGTCCGTCCCCGAACCTCGATGATCTACCTCTGCGGTGCGACGGGTGCGAGACGGTCTCGTGTGTGGTCGGATCATTCTCGGATCATGCTCGGATCGGTCTCGGATCATGGTCGGATCGGTTCCGCATTGTAAATGGGGTTTCAAGTGTTTTTCGTGCATGCGCGGTCGACAGAATTCCATTGTGATTTGCAACTGTATAGGATCGTTCCCGCATTGTAAATGGGGTTGCAAGTGGTGCTGGTGGATGAGTTGCTGATGGAATTCCATTGTGATTTGCAACTCTAGGATCGTTCCCACTCTAGGATCGTTCCCTCACTGTAAATGGGATTGCAAGTGGTGCTGGTGGAGGAGTTGCCGATGGAATTCCATTGTGCTTTGCAACTGTAGGATCGTTCCCGCATTGTAAATGGAGCTACAATTTCCGACGCCGTTGCGCGTAGTTCTCTTGTGTTTTGCAACTCAGTCTCTGCAGATCGCATTGTAAACAAGGGACTTGCGTCAAGGTTTGCGTCTTACTGTGGCTGCATGCGTAATACTATTGTCTTTTGCAGCTGGACTTCGTAAATCGTATTGGAGTGGCTGCATGAAGGCTGCGACAGTGATTTGTCAGCAGATTTCCTCCATTTTGGCGCTAGCAATTTTCCTTTTAAAAATCCTTTTAAAAAGTGCTTCAAAATCGTCTTTTTTTCGCTCTGGCGTCGAGATCCGGTTTTGGAGCTACAATTTCCGACGCCGTTGCGCGTAGGTCTATTGCGTTTTGCAACTGAGTCTCTGCAGATCGCATTGTAATGGCTGCGTCAAGGTTGCGTCGTACTGTGGCTGCATTCGTAATACTATTGTCTTTTGCAGCTGGATCTCGGAAATCGTATTGGAGTGGCTGCATGAAGGCTGCGACATGGATTTGTTAGCAGATTTTCTACATTTTGGCGCTAGTGATTTTCCTTCTAAAATATTTTTAAAAAGTGCTTCAAAATCGTCGTTTTTTCGCTCTGGCGTCGAGATCCGGTTTTGGAGCTACAATTTCCGACGCCGTTGCGCGTAGGTCTATTGCGTTTTGCAACTGAGTCTCTGCAGATCGCATTGCAATGGCTGCGTCAAGGTTGCTTCGTGCTGTGGCTGCATTCGTAATACTATTGTCTTTTGCAGCTGGACTTCGTAAATCGTATTGGAGTGGCTGTATGCGCCACAGTGATTTGTCAGCAGATTTTCTCCATTTTGGCGTCAGTGATTTTCCTTCTTCTAAAAATCCTTTCAAAAAGTGCTTCAAAATCGTCTTGCACAACAACAGTACGTGGTTGGACGACAAAGAGTCGGACGACGAAGTTCTCCGCAGACAATACCGTCATCTCTGGGAAGCTGTGCGGTCCTTTCAACCAGAGTTTGTTGATGCTGAGATGAAGCGCAGACAAGGTCTTGCCGCAGAGGTTTCAACTCTCGTTTGACTGCCGAGGGCTGGGTGTGCGTTGTTATGAACCGCATCTGGGTGTGAATTGCTGTGCTTCAGTAGCTTCGCCTTTCATTTGACCTTGCGAACCGCAGAATGCCTCTGTCACTTGGTTTTGGTTTCTGTGTGCGTTGTTACGAACCGCACAAAAAACCATGATCGTACTGCATACATGTGACCAAAAAAAGGATCTTTCAGATTTTGGCTGCTTTCATTTTCTATTTCAAATCAACTTTTTCTGCTCTGGCGTTGAAGTGTGAAGGAAGCAGTGGGAAGTGTGAAGTGTGAAGTGTGAAGTGTGAAGGAAGCAGTGGGAAGTGAAAAGTGTGAAGTGTGGAGTGTGAAGTTTCAGTTTGGAGTGCGAAGAGCGCAGTGTGAAGTGTGAAGTGTGAGGTTTGGAGTGTGAAGGAAGCAGTGAGAAGTGAGAAATGAGAAGTGTGAAGTGTGAAGTGTGAGTGAAGTGTGAAGTGTGAAGTGTGAGGTTTGGAGTGTGAAGGAAGCAGTGAGAAGTGAGAAGTGTGAAGTGTGGACTGTGAAGTGTGAAGTGTGGAGTGTGAAGTTTCAGTTTGGAGTGCGAAGAGCGCAGTGTGAAGTGTGAAGTGTGAGGTTTGGAGTGTGAAGGAAGCAGTGAGAAGTGAGAAATGAGAAGTGTGAAGTGTGAAGTGTGAGTGAAGTGTGGGGTGTGAAGTGCGAAGTGAGAAGTGTGAAGTGTGAAGTTTGGAGTGTGAAGTTTGGAGTGGAAAGGAAGCAGTGAGAAGTGAGAAGTGTGAAGTGTGGACTGTGAAGTGTGGAGTGTGAAGTGCGAAGTGAGAAGTGTGAAGTTAGGAGTGTGAAGGAAGCAGTGAGGAGTGTGAAGTGCGAAGTGAGAAGTGTGAAGTGTGAAGTTTGGAGTGGGAAGAAGTGTGGACTGTGAAGTGTGGAGTGTGAAGTGCGAAGTGAGAAGTGTGAAGTTTGGAGTGTGAAGGAAGCAGTGAGAAGTGTGGACTGTGAAGTGTGAAGTGTGAAGTGTGGACTGTGAAGTGTGAAGTGTGCAGTGTGAAGTGTGAAGTGTGAGGTTTGGAGCGTGAAGGAAGCAGTGAGAAGTGAGAAGTGTGGAGTGTGAAGTGTGGAGTGTGAAGTTTGAAGTTTGGAGTGCGAAGAGTGCAGTGTGCAGTGTGAGGTGTGGAGTGTCGAGGGAAAGACACGGTCGGGACAGGGTGTCTTTGAACTATTGGTCATTTATGTTTGGGAAACTTCCGCCGCCGGCTTGCCCGGGTCTATGTTATAAATAATTGGACTTGTTATGAAGCTGTAGACAGAGCATCTTTGGAAATATACCACAGGTGCTGCTCAGGCGGCAAGTGTGTGATTGGGCCTGAAATATGCCATGGAATGCGGGGTGTCACCATTTTTTTTTCTTTCCTCTTCGAGCTTCGTGGCATTTCGTGGCATTGAAAGGGACTTGATTTCGCTCAGGAACTACATGTCCCTCATCAAGGCTGCTGGTCGTGACCGTGATGTCGACCGTGCATTTGGTATCATCCAACGCCTTCGTGAGAACAATGCAGCTTGCCCAACCCGGTCTTGGACAACAGTCCCAGTCGAGAACACCATTTGAACAGATTTGAACATATTTGAAATAACTAGTGGATACTAGTGGATGGTTGGATGAGGTTAGATGCAGAAATAGGAGAAAAAGCGGAGCATATTTTATTGTCGATTCTCATCCCACAGGGCTTCCATTGTAGCACTTTGTAGCACTTTGCAGCATTGTAGCTAACAGAGTGTGGCTTTGTGTCGAGGTCAAACCGGATGCCATTGCCTTCAACTGTGTCTTGGATGTTTGCGTGAAAGCTGGCGATATCCACCGTGCCAGACAGCTGGTTCAAGAGATGGAGGAGACGTTGTCGAATGCGAAAACGGACAGTACAGAAACGGTACAGAAACGGTACAGAAACGATCCAAATTGCAAGTTGCAGGGGCGCAAAAGATTGCAAACGCGTACATGTCAAGAACAGCTGCAGATAAAACCTCGGTCTGAGAGCCAGTTCACATTGGGTGCATTCACCGAGCCGAATCTGGAGAAAAAGACATGCCAGTATATAGTTAAACCGAACCAAAATAAAGCAAACACAAAGTGATTCTGTTTGCTTTAATTTTTCCAGGAACTTGGCCTGCTGGTAGCGTGTCTGCACTATACATTTGTATACCCTTGACTCACAACTTTCGCCGCAGCCGCCAACTGTTCGGCATTGTTCGGCACTCTGCTTGTTCATGAGTTGAAGGATGTTAAATGCAGTTATGGGATGTTTAGGGTTTCAACCCGGGCATGGTTCAGGATTCGTCGCATGGCATCTGAATTTGTTCCAAAGGGGTTCCTCAGGGGCTCGTATGGAGTTGAGTCATGACTCGGGAAAGCTGTTGCGCTGAGGATATCATCACCTACAACACCTTGCTGAAAGGATACTGCAACAATAACGACATCAAAGGTGCCAAGGACAGCGCAATAGGTGCTGCAGGCCGTTTCAAACGGCCAATAATTGGACACGTGTTCTGCAAGCGGGCCACGATGTGAAGACGTTCCTGGTCATTGTGCGCTTTGAATGGGACCTCGTGCCAATCTGCCAATCTGTTCTTTCTTTTCCCTCCGGTTTGTTTTGGAAGCTCCGGATGTTGATACGTTCTGACTTGACCAGGACCTGCTGTCTGAGATGTCGGCCGCAAACTTCGAGCCAAATGATGTTTCCTACAACTGCCTCTCGGATCTGGATCTACTCCGATCCTCTTGGCTCTGCTTCTGATTGCTTCTGTCCAGATCATCGTTGCATCTAGTCATACCTTGTCAGCCAATTTGACTTCCAATCATGCCCATGTCGAGCTGTCAAGGCATCCTCAATGCAGCTGTGAACTGCGGCAACTTTGAAGACGCGTGGGATACCATCGCCAAAATGGAGCTTTGCTAGCAGAACATTCTTGCCTCTTGTTGAGTGCGGGCGTGCTTCCTTTTTTTTATATCCGATAGATTCACGTCCTGTGGTAACATCCATACATAGAACTTGAGGCCGATTCTGTGCCAGTTTTGCACGGACGTGCTATGCAAGTTCCGAATCAATTCCAAGTCATGTATATGGCTTAAAAAATATATATATATATATATATATTATATATAAATATATAAATAGTATAATATTATTAGTATAAAAGCATAGAGTAACTCAACAAGGTGTATCCTCTTTGCAACATCTCACCCTATCCAAGGAACAAATGAACGTGAAGCCTGACCACTACACTGTTACTTGCAAGCACTAATGATCTAAAGCTCGTTGTAAAGCACATAGGGACAGAAACAGAAAGACTATGAAAGACTTCAAATCTCCATGTGAAGTTTCTGGTGTTGTTTTCTTTGCATTCCGGAGCTTGACTTTTCTTGAGGTGTCCATCATGCTGAAAGCGCTGAAGAGAGCCAAAGGCACCAAGGATGTCCCTGGGCTGCGGGACCCATTTGAAGCCACGTAATTCGTATTCCAATAGTGAAAATGGTCTGAACATTTTGAAAATTGAATCATCGAGATCTTCGAACATTTTGATGTGCCAAAAATTGCACGGAAAATGCAGCTACGGTTTGCGACTCAGCTTTTGCTGTAAGCTTCAGGTGCATCGCTGCCTGAGCTTTTTGGATCGCTCCAGCATTGATCCCTGCTCAGATGAGATTCTGATGAACACTGCAGCTTGGCTTTGCCAATTTTCAGCTGTTGGGATGTTCGAGTTTCAAGTGGACAACATTAACATTGGACAACTGATATGACAACTGTGGGTCATTGATGATCATTGTCCCAGGTGTTGGAGACCTACATTCGCCACAAGGAATACAGGCCGGACGCCTGCAATGGTAAACCAAATTGCACCAAATTGCACCATGTTTGCAGGGTGCATGGTTTCAACATGTCTCAATGTGTTTCAACATTCCGACGAGTTGGGGTATTGCAGTCGTTGCCTTGTCTTTTTGCGTTCCATTTAATTTTATCTGCTTTCATATCCTTTCATCATTGTCCTCAAAAACAAGTGTCCTTTCTCAAGAGCCATGGGTGCAGCAAAACACTACCCTCAAATTGTCACGTGGAAAAGCCTAGAATAGTTATGAATAGCTTGCAATGGGTCACCATGGGTCACCATGGGTCACCATGGGTCTCAATTCCCAAGAGTCTGTTATTCCGGGTGTAAACATTGAGCTGATCTCAAGTCTGAAGAGTGCCTCATCAAGATCAGCTTTGATCATGATGAAAGACGATGAAAGCACTGGAAGAGAACTCTCTCGCAGGCGTTTGGAAAGCCTCCTCAGCAAATTTGTGCCTTGTCAGCGGTAGACTCCGTTAGATGTTTGGACCTGGCCACTTTCATCCTGTGTCCTGTGACAAAATGTGACAAAGATTGTGACAAAGATTGTGACAAAGATTGTGACAAAGATCTCACAGTGTTGTGAAGAATCGTGAGATCACCGGCTCAGACGGCTCAGAGCCAGACCTAGCACCAAGCCACAGACCAAGGAGCAGTCAAACTTGCGACCTTCAGTTCCTACTTATGGCTCGATCATCAAGGCATACGCAAACCTGAAGCGCCCAGAGAAGTGCTGGCACTTTTGGAATGACACTTGGTCGCCGACATTTCAGGATCATCCAGGATCATCCAGGTGCAGCGTCATGTAGATCCTGTAGGTCACTGTAGGTTCTTGGGCATGCGCACGCTGTAATCCAAAGTATTCCAAAGTCAATGTCGTGTTGGCAAAGGACTCCGTTCACACCCCTCCCCCTGCTTGGTAGGTTGCAGATATGTGATGATCATCATGTTCTTCACCTAATGCTCTCATCACAAACCAAAGATCACCTAACTTCATCCAAGTTCACCTAAGCGACTTAGCCTAACTGCTATTTTCACAAATCCTCAAAGGCCTAAGGGATCCTAAGGGCCTAAAATATGCCTGAGATCACAGTGCCAGAGACAGTGCCAGAGCATGCAGAGCTTTCGCATCTGAGGAGATGCAAGGCCAGCGAGGCTTGGAGCCCAACGACATCGTCTTCGGCTGCATGCTCGATGCTCTCGTGTGCAACAACCAAGTGGATGAAGCCGTGAAGCTCTTCGTCGCTTTGACATGCTTTGACGCAGATAATTATACAATATTATACAGCAATAATAAATGACATCAAATGACTAATTTAATGACTGCCTAGACTCACTTAGACTATCTTATCTAAGTTCAATCTGAACCGGTACGCCATAGGGACAAAAGAAGAAGTCGTGCAGTTGAGTTGTCTCCGATGTCTCCATTTTTTCTCCAAGTTTTCCCACATTGATTTATTGATATACCAAATTCAGACCGCTCTGAGGAGAGCAGCACTCTGAAGCCCAACGCCGTGCTGTGCTCCATCCTCGTGAAGGGCTTCACAACCACAGGGCAGACCCAACGTGCCATGTCTTTGTGGCATGAAATGCGCAGCAAGGGCGTGAGGATGAACACAGCCGCATGCAACGCCTTCGTCGATGCTCAAGCTCGAGTTGGTAACATGGATGAGGTGCTGCTCATTGTGGAAGCCATGGCGCAAGACGGTTGCAGGCCAGATGGCATCACCCACTCCACCATTGTGAAAGGCTATGCCGTGAAAGGAGATCTGGACAAGGCAATGGATGTCTTGCGCAGCATGCAGGACAGTGGCATGCACCACGATGCCATCGTGTACAACACCATCCTTGACGGATGCACCAAGCACAAGCGAACAGACCTTGTGGACCCAATCCTTGAGAGCATGCAGGAGCACCACATCAGCCCAACCAACTTCACATTGGGCATCCTGGTGAAGTTCTACAGTCGCCAGAAGCAGCTGGACAAGGCATTTGCATGCATGACTACCCTGCCGAAGCGTGGGAACTTTATTCCAAATTGCCAAGTCTGGTCTTGCTTAATGGGAGCTTGCCTGATGAATGGCAGTCCTGCCAAAGCGTTGCAAGTGTTCCGTGACATGCGTGCTACAGGGCAGAGTGCTGACACAAGGGCTTGTACATCACTGGTGTCGGGCTTGGTGCGCATGGGCCAATTGAAAGATGCCGTGCAGGTGGTGGATGATGTGCTTGGACTCACCGGCAAAGGCAAGTGTCATGGTGTTACCATTGACCAGGATTGTTTGGAGAGTTTGTTGACTGCCTTGGTTCAGAAAGGTTTGCGTGAAGACATGGCAGCACCGCTCTTGGAACGGCTCCGTGCAGCCCATGTTCCGCTGAGTGGCCGTCTGATGGCCGCAACCCTCGCTGACGGACCGGACTATGCAGGACCTCCAAATCCACGCTCAAAATCAAAGTCTAACTACTACGCATAAGCCGTGTGAACCCCACTGCCATGTATAGCAAGCAGTGCCCGAGCCTCAGCTGGGGCAGAGATTTCACTTGGATTTCACTTTGCATTTTTTTTCGATCTCCTTTTCTGTTATGTCTTCTCTATGCAGCTGACTGTCGGAAGGACATCGTTTGTAAAGCAGTCAGCTCAGGCACCAGATCCCCTGAGCTTTGCAAAGCGACCGGCCGGAGTAGGCGGGACACAGGCTGCTGGCAGTTGGCATTCTTCCTAGTTTAGTCATGAAAAATCAACGGGAATCAAATATCGATCATATAATGACAGCGATGACAGCGATGAACTAAGTGGAACTGGAGCTCTTGAAGTGCGACTTTGCTGGGCGTTAGGCGGTTGGCAGCTTCCCAGCGGTTCGTCCGCTGGCACCTTGCCATGAGTGGAGATGCAGGATGAAAAAGTGCATCTGCCATATCTGCCCGCTGCACACGGTCGAATGCGTTTTCGTTTTCGCCAGTGGCCTCCGCCGGCCTCCGCGAAGCATTTTTCTTGCTCCCAATCAGATTCAACCGTTGCCCATCCGTTATCCATCCGTTATCCATTTTACGTTTTCGTTGCATTTTGTAAAGCCTCCCTTTGAAATTAGGTGATTGCTCCTGAAGCTTGGCTGGACCCTGAGCATCCCTCAAAGAGCTCGCTTCAATTTTAAATCTTCACATTTGCGCGAATTCATGAGTGATCCAAGTGAACCTTTTCAATGGAGCTGTCATGAAGCAGAGTCTTGGTGTCATTTCAGCCTTGCTTTGGATTTGCAGCTGTAGAGCACTGTAGAGCTTTGGCTCATGGATTCGATTTCATCGATTTCGCATGTTCTCTGCGAGATCTTCGCGGCCGCGCGTTGTGACTCGTCTGGGCATAAGCGGGGAAAAAACCAAGATCGTAGTGATCGCAGCTCTATCTTTGGACACTTGCCCTTGGTGCAACGACCTAGAGCCACGATGGATCTGCAAAAGTGATGGTCCGTGGTCGATCTATCCATTGTGGTGACACTTGCGATTTCCGCCGGCCTCGATGTCGCGACACAGGTGGAGCATGGTGGAGCCATTGCTGTCCAATATTGTCCAATGAATTGCAAGTCAGCAAGTCCCTGACAGAGTCACCAAATCACTCACTGAGTGCGATTACTGCCAGATCTTTGCCTTGGTGACTCTGGGACAGAATTCAGAAAACCGTCCGATACTTTTTGGACTTACTGGGTGTAGAGAGGCTGCTTTTAGGGGGAATGTGATCCGTGTAATTCTCATGAAGTGTCTGTAGCGATGTGATTTGCATATATTTAATTTGCATTCTAGTTGGCCAAGGTGACATTCCACTGGAAGTTGAAACACAGGGAGGTGGCAGCGCATGTGGAGACTTCCAGTGATACCTCTGGCGCAAGTTCTTCCTGCGCAACTCCCACAACTGTGCCTTGGCAACTGGATCTAAAATGATCTAAAGACACAGGTGAGGTATCAGTGCGCAAAGAGGCTGCAAGGTTGCTTCTTGCAAGCCTATGTGAAGAGGTTGGATTTTGCATGTATGCTCTATGCTTACTGGGCTTACTGATTTGGTTTCCAAAACCAGACATGTAATCAGCGGATCACCGGATTCGCAGACTGGCAGTGCCTGGCATGCAGACAGCACTGGTTGGTTCAGCTTAGGGAAGTTGCCCAGCCCAGGCACTGCCTCATAACATAATTCTCAAAAATTATCAAATCTACAGCTGCAGCTGCTGCAGCTGCTTGTGCCAGGGAAGAACTTTTGCGTTCAGAGCTTGAAGTGCAATGCTTTCACTACCTGGTCTGAAGATGGGTCCCGTGTACACCCGGGGATGACGAAGAGGAGTTTGGCAGCAAGGCGCAGCAACTACGCAGAGCGCAGAGGCCAACATGCTTGTGCTCTTGGCAGAGGCATCGTGCACTCCTACAGCACGTCAGGCCTGCATACATGAATAAAAAATGGCATACCTTTGAAACACCCTTTCAGACATTTTGAAACCCTTTCTCTTAATTTTTTCAGCGGGGTTATGCCATGTTATGCCACCGGTAATGGCTACGATGTCTAGTGCTTATCAATTTGTCGCTAGGCTGCCTCACTTGTTGAGCAGTGCTCGGTGGTGAATCAGTGAAGTTGCCAAGGCAGGAAGAGCGTTTGCTGAATTTCACCCACTTGCTGCAGCGCTATGTTCACCTCGCAAAGAGTGGAGCTGTGGCAAAGTACTTTTTTGACTGACCGCACCGGGCAGCGCTGTCTCGCAAGAATTCCGCCTTGTATGTAGGGGTGGCCGGAAAATATGAGCCTGTGATGCAAGACTGGAGACTTCAGAAACTGGCGGCGTTTACAGTAAATGTTCTTGCGTGGTTTCTACATCTCTTTTCATGTTGTGGAACTTTAGTTTTAAGCTTGAAATTGTTCTGAGCCGCACCTTCTGTGCACACCGTTAGCTGGCTTGCATCAAGATGGACAGACTAGGCAAGGCTCTAACAGTTTGTTAAAACATGCTCATTTTATGATGGGACGCTAGGAACAAAGATGCTCGAACATTTCTGGCATTTCTTGATTTGACGAGATGTTTTTTTTGGCGGGGGCAACTTCAGTCAACACTTTGGGGCCATTTGTAATCCATTTGCAGCAAAAGTGATGCCTTGCCTACACCAACCACGGCAAAGACAGGAATGGCAGCAACATGAAAGATTCTGAAAGAGTAAGCAGAGTTTAGCAGAGTAAGAGCAGATACTCGTACAGCAAAAATCAGAGGATGGTGCTCAAGTTGACTCAAGTTGACTCAAGTTGACTCAAGAGGTTTCGCGCTTGCTTTGTGGGAATGCAACGGATGCCATGGCCGTTGCCGCTTCTCCCGTGGCCTGTGCTAGTGCCTGCGCATGGGGCGCATGGGGCGCATGGGGTGCATGGGGTCAGGGACAGTTTGTTGGCACGGGATTCCATTGAAAGCGTCCAAGAGTGGCATGACAGCCTGGCCGATGAAACAGCTGCACTGAGAGATATCTCTTCAGATGTTTGTTGGCATGCTGGCTTCACCAAAGAACGATGTTGCCGTGGTGATCCTTCAACAACAAAGGATTGCTGGGATGGCAGCTACAGTTTCGGAGAATGTTGCCCAAATGCTGACTGCTGGATGGGTGAGACCTTCACCTATGATTTTTGTTGTGCTGATAGGCATGGCCCAGAAGGCAATCAAGCCTGTTGGAGTGGAGATTTTACACACCAGCTGTGCTGCTTAGCGAATGCAACCTCGAATAGTTGGGCAGATATCTTGGCATCCGAGATTGAAACCGAACAGTTCTACCAAATGGACGACTTCTACACAGATGCACAATACGGTGACGAGTGGGGCTACTACTCCAAGGGGCATGTCTTGCTGGGTGGCGGTAAAGGTGGCCAAGGTCAAGAGCAAACTCAGCAGTTTGCCCACTTTACAACTTATCCCATGGCCCTCTCGCCCCATTTTGCCAGAGTTTTTTGTCGGCTCCTCTTCATTATGTGGGTGGGGTGCCCAGCAGACACATGTGTTGTGCCATCACACTTCAATTGCCATGAAGTATCACCATGGAAGGTCAGTTATATATACAAATATATACAATACATAGATATGACAAACAAATACGCAAACAATGAGCTTTGAACTTTGCTGGTCAATATATTTTATTAATGTGTTGTTGTTTATAATTTATAATTTATAATCAACTAATAGGCTGGACACTGCTATCAGTGTGACGATGTGTTCCAGTGCGGCCGCTTTGATCAGGTTCAGTTGCACGAGCGCGCCCCTTTCCGAGTGGTGGAAATGGGTGCAGGCTTGGCCGCCTTGGTGCAGCTACCACATACTCAGGAAATGGCAAGGGGGCACTATATGATCTCATACTTGTATGCTATAGGCCATATATATCCATATATATATATATAATTAAATGTGACACACACACACATACACATATATTGAATTAATCATTGTAACCATCTGCTTCATCATTGTAATCATCCGCTTTATTATGATTCTATATGATAATTTTTGATACTCTATGATGCAGACCTTTTTAGAATAGTGAATTTGCCATACAGCTCCAAGCACCCAGATGCGGCTGTTGAACAAAGGTGTCACGTCGTCACGTCCCAGGTTCTGGGCAGTTGGCATATGACACGCAGCAGTGTGTCCGGACCAATGCCCTGGGCCTTGCGCCAGCTGTGTGGCGGAGATGGGCTGCGGCATTCGAGCAGCTTGGCACAAGGACGTTGCGGCTGACGTCTCGCTGGGGTACCTGACGGGTGCCTGTGTTACACCATGTTACACCATGTTACACCATGTTACACCATGTTACACCACATGGAGGAACATGAAACGAGGTGATTTGATTTGTGACCATGAGCCTTTCCATTTGTGATTTGTGGGTGGCCCATGGTGGCCCCAAGTCATCCAAAGTCACCTGAGGTACACCATCATGGAGAGGCTTTGCAATTGCCATTAACCGCTAATGCTGGATGACATGCTGGATGACATAGGGCACATGTCTTGTGATCGTGATTGGTTTCTCTCGAAGACACGGATAGATTCGGATAGATTATGCCGTATAGAGGCTATGTGGCCATTGGCTGTGGAGCTGTTGTACGTTGAAATGGTGATATGTAGAAAAAATGGTGGACATGGTACAGGTCTCCAGCCCTGCGAAAGCGGCAGCAGTCCAGAGGGCTGCGATCAGTGGCGGGAGATGCGCAATCGACGGCCTGGAACTCAATTACCATTTTCAATATCTTTCAATATTTTTCAATATTTTTCAATGGTCAATTCTTTTTCGGTCCACTTTCGGCTGGCTTTAACATATTTAACACGCTGTGACTGTTCAGAATTGCAATTCCTGTGAGATCCAAGAAAACGCTTTAACTTTAAATCATTTGGTGAGTGTTTTGGTCAGACTGTTGGTGCTGTCATGGTGAGGGCAGCTGCAAGTCAGTGCTTGCTGCTTTGGCGGCATCTGCTGCATGCACAGGTCAGCCCTTGAGTACAAAGGGCTTTGTTGACAGATGGGTCACAACGTGAACGCGCATCGTCAGCATCAAAAGATATCACAAGACTATGCAGCTTATACCGTAGCTTATACCGTAGCTTATACCTGCATGTAGGCACCTGCTGTGTGAAGATGGGGACATGCCAGGCGGAGAGGGTGTTGATGCTCTTGACGCTCCAGAATGCAGAGCCAATGAAAGAGGCACTGCAGAAGCTGGAGCATCCGTGGTTGGGAACTCAAAGCATTTTGAGCCACCTTAAATTGTATATCTTTTTTACAGTCATACTATATCATAATATTATAGGACAATGATGGACAATGCATAATGAGCTTGTGGGCCAGACAAGCTGTTTATATGATTTTATATGCATGCATACTTCTGTCATCTTCTGTCATGCCTTTGCCTCCTAGGTTCTGTCCAACGAGTTGCTGGATGCCTTCGCTCCAGTGAAACTGCGGTCACTTCACATGGAAGGGGGGGAACTGCACTCGACCATGAAGGTATTTGTTGAATATGATGCAAGCATTGTCAAGCATTGTCAAGCAGGGAGTTGCTGAGGTTCTCTTTATATGGGAAGCCAAACATTACGAGCTGCCGCTGCTTGGATTGAACTGGGTAAGTTACCAGAAGTATCCAGAAGTACCACAGCTGGTGTGAAGCGACACGTGCATGGACCGGAGCCACCGCAGCCACCGCAGCCACCGCAGCCTGAATCAGGATCTTGGCAGGAGGTCCGTTTGGTGCATACCATCACTCAGGCGCAAACCCAAACAGCGCTGTTGGAATGTTGTTGGTGTCTTCACTGATATTCACTGATGCCCAAAATCTGTTGAACAAATCGGTGGTGTGTTGGTGATCTGTTGGTGATTTGCAGTCAGGAGAAGCTGAGAACTCTGCTGCACGTTCTGGGCTACTCAGAGGAGCGTCTTCGCATGTCTTCTGTGCTTGTTCCCTGTTGCACCAGGTTGCACCAGGTTGCACCAGGTTGTGCCCAGCCTTCCTGTTACAGGACGCAGCAGAGGGGACCATCTCCCAAGTGCAGGGCTGGACTGATGCGACCTTTTGCGCCCGTGCCTTACGATCTTCATACAATCTTATTACTACTCTATCAGTCTATCACCTTATAAGTTCCAACTAACTAATGCTCATGCTAAATCATGATCCTTATGTCACGCCTCTTCACATCAGGCTACTGTAATGATTCTCATGATGTCCTGAGAGACATCCCTTGAAGAACTTGCAAGGCAAAGACTGTGTTTTGTTCTGACGACGATTTTAAGGCAATGGCAAACACCACCATTGGGCTGGAGGTCCAGCAGCAGGTGCGGAAGGATCCGATCGCATCAGTCCGCATAAGTCCGCAGAAGGCATAAGGTTTGGATTTCTGTGGCTACAATTTCTTTGCTTCGCCCAGAGATACTGAGAGCCTTCCAGGTTGCCGCGAACACCTCCTGCTTAGCCATCACTTTCAGTCTCAGCGAATTGGTGAACCATTTAGATTTGGGAGTCTCAGCAGCGGTTCAGACAGTGATCCAACTTAAATCCAAACGGCCGTTGGTTTTCGCCGCTGGTTTTTTGGACAGGGCACGCAGCATGCACCAATGTAGCACGACCTCTGCCAAGGAGTTCCCTTTGCGTCGCACAATATGCGGATGCGGATCAGGAAAGACACCAAGCTGTCCGACCGGCTGCGCCTAATCACTGAGCGGCTCAATCGACCCTTGACGATCACAGAATGCTGGGATGAAAGGTGGCATAGCTTCGCACATCTTTGCACTAATTACAGTATAGATTATTGATGATTACTGATGATTACTGATGATTACTGTGCACAACTGCATGCTGTATGATAATATGATACTGTATGTACTGTAGCTGCTGCGCAGATTACATAGCTTCACCAGCTGACTGGCGTGCTACATTTAGTTCTTCTTTCCCTTTCTTGAGGGATGCCTTTCACCAGATGACTACTTTTTTGGATCCTTTTGGGCAGTTGAGCATCAAACTGAGGTGAGTTGGAGACATCTGTCGCTTTACCCCGTGATGTCTACCGACAGGTGCAGACGCAATGCTGCCGCACTGTTCAGAGAATGTGTGCATGTTTGGAATTGTTCGGATGGTACGGTGTGTGCAGGTCCGGCATCAGCTCCGTACTTTGGCAAATCTTAACACATCTTAAAACCAATGTGGGCCCGCGATGGGAAGATTACAGAAATGGGGGACAAGCATGCCGAAAGATCAACGGCATCAAGCGATCAAATACAATGCTTGCACATTGGATTGCGATGTGAAGACCATGTTACCGTGGCGCTTGGCTGATATCTGAGGTGACGTGCCAGATCTTGAGGCTGACTTTTTGCATTCTGTCCAGACTCATCTTTTCCCTGTATCCATCACAAAGGCGAGGGCTGAGCTGCTTATGGCATTTCACAGCCTGAAAGCTTCCGAGCGATTGCCTGATGTTTACTTTTCTTTGCGTCCATCTTTGGCGGAAGGAAAGGTGTGATGACTTGGAGTGGTGGTTCAAAGCCCACGAAGCAAGAATCGCCAAGCTGGCTCTCTTCTATCGTGGATTGGGCACCTTGGCATCATCATGCCCTGAATCGCCAGCAAGTAGCTTTGCAGCTCTTTTTCTGAATGTCTAACTGATTCCAAAAGCAGCCTCCCTGAAAAGCATCCAAGAGCTGACCGAGACGGACCCTTGAGATGCAGGAACGCCCAGCCCAAACTTGCGAAATTAAGGATACCCTGCCCTGCATTTGGTGGCATCTTGGCATATCTTGGCTTTGTCAGAACTTGGTTAGAACTAAAAGTTTGCAGCGGCACATTCCCAGGGTCTTGTTGGCAGGTCCGGCCTGGCGAGGACGAGCTAGAGCAGCTAGACAGTTTGTGCATGTTTGAATCTTGTTGGGATCAAACCGTTAATGAAGCAAGAATTGGCAAGAATACCTAGAAATACGCAGAATACATCAGAATACCTTGTGTGGCACACCCATTTGGAGATCTTTTGAGCTTGAGAGATCTTGAGAGAGAGAGGTCATGCTAATCATAGCACACATACGAAGTCTTGCTCTTGTTGCTGCAGTGCAGCTGCAGTGCAGGATAATTTCATTGACTTGGTGGATTGCCTGCTGGGCCCTACAGGTGGATTTAAGCTGAGCCTAGACTACGGAGCCAACTTCGAGGTGGGCTCTGTGATATTCGCTGTGAGTTGATTGTGAGGCAATGGCCAGGACGTGTTTCCGTGTTTCTAATCAGTTTCATCGTTTTCATCAGTAATGAAATGCTATGGTAACTTTAGTAAGACATGCCCGAAGGGTCTTGAAGATCACTTACCTGGAAGAGACGGCATTTCCTGAGCATGTTAAAGATGTCAAAGTCATTCAACGTCAATGCTTTGCTTTACTTCTCAGGGGCTCGCCCACAGCCTCAGCGTGGACGGTGACAATGATGGGATTTTTGTACCTCCAATCCCGCATGAGCTTTGGCGGCGGCGGCGGCGTTGAGACAACATGAGACAACTCACAACTTGGCGACCTCATTCTGAGTGAAACCATGTGAAACCCCTCTGAACGTTCTGAACAGCTGAGGAACTGATGGAAGGCCTGCCCGAGTGCCATAACCTTTGGCCAAAGTGCACCTTGTCTGAAAAATGTCACAACTTCTAACATCTCGCCAGCAGTTAGCCTAAAACTGCTTACTGTGACGTATGTATTTGAGATATGCGTGGACAAGAGTAGATAGTCGATGTAGATTCATGTAGATGAGCAGATAAATACAGTACATCATGCAGACTATATTATATCATATATAAAAATTATATAATTACATCTAATCTGAACTAAAACAGCATGAATTGATTTTGGGGCAATGGAATCCCTTCGTGGTCCTCCCGATGGAGATCCAGGTGCCGGGCGAATAGACTGGACCACCTTCGTTGACTTCACGAACCTGGCTGCGGCGGGCGAACGCCGTGGTTGGCGGACAGTGTGCCGAGCTCAGAGTCGAAAAAATCGAAATTTGGATCTTTCACAATGTTTCTTCAATGTTTCTTCAATGTTTCTTCAATGTTTCTTCAATGTTTCTTCAATGTTTCTTCAATGCTCGTGATGCTGGTGATGCATATTCAGAACCTTTCAAAACCGGTCATTTTGGGATCATTTTGGGTTTCGGATCGTTTTGGCAGTCTGGACTCCGGATTTGCGAACATTTCCACTTCGCGATCCTGTGGTGCGATTGATTTCCCAGCAACGGGGTCCAAGGTTCTATGGCCCACAGAACCTCCTGGAGCAAGTCAGTCGGCTAAATCTCACTCTGAATGCGCCTTTGCTAAAGAACAATTTGGCCATACCTTGTGTAGGCTGAAGGAAGAGAGGAACAGTCACATGCTTAGTTCCAGCTGGGACAACTGCAAGTTGAATATTTTGACGTGTGTCTCTGCTGCAGGGCAATTCTTACTCTGTTCCTGGCTATGCTGTGCTGCAACAAGATGGCTGGGTATCCAGACATGTCAAGGGCTGGTACGGTCGTGAGAGCGTTTCTCAGCTGAAGCGTGGTAAAAGTGTCGTCTTGTTTGCGTTCGGCCAATATGTCACAGATGTTGAAAGCGCCTAGAGAAGACTGTACCCTTTGATGTCTTGTAAGTCTTGTATTTGATTTCTGTTTTCTCCACCACTTAAATTCTTGAGAGAGAAGTGTCCACCATCGTCACATCGTCTTCATAGGAACTCACAATCCTTGAGCAGAATGACTTTTCAGGACATGGATGGGACGGGTGTGCAGAGGCACGCAATGCTATCCAGGGTGATGCAAGATGCACTACCAGCATAGCCGTCATAGCAATTGTTTGATGATTTTGATGAGAGATGTGCTTTGGACATGTCTGGACAGTGCAATCTGCACCAGGTGGACATCTTTCAAAGCGTTGCTGCTTGAGAAGCCTTCTGCCAAAGAAGCTCAGTCACCAATCCTTTTCCCGCCCCTCTTCCTGGATTGGCGTGGCATTGGCATCTCATTTAATGTTGTCTAGCCAATAGTGATATCTTGTCAATAGTAGAAACTTTTTTCCCAACTCCAATTTTTTCTCCAATACTAAAAGTCAATTAGCTCCATTTACTTTTAGTATTGCCAAAAGAGTCAAGTAAAGCAAATCCTTTTCAAAGCAGCCTTCACTTTTGATTAGCAAAAGCTTAGATTCCAGAAATCTGATCCAATTACCAAACAGCTGATTTCCTTATAAAACCCTTATTAAAAAAAGCAAGAAAACAGGTCCACAAAGGGTACCCCCTTTGCAAGCCCCAGAATAGCAATAACAAACCTGCACCAGGCATGGCAATAGTGGAAACTTTTTTCCGCAACTCCAATTTTGTTGTCCTCCTTCTCCTTCTCCTTCTCCTTCTTCTCCTTCTTCTCCTTCTTCTCCTCCTCCTCCTCGTCCTCCTCCTTCGCCTCCACCACCTCTGCCCCCACTTCCATGATCCCAGCTATAAGGTTCCAAAAATTTACTATTGGAATGCTGACCCCCCCTAATTTTATTAAAATAATCATTTTATTTAGGGGGCGGGGGGGGTTTACTATTAGGCAGCCTACATTAATCCCATTTATATCTGGTATGAAATTGTAACTACATAATGAGGGGACCTGTGCTACACTACCAAACGCCAGCCAGGGTTGTTTTGTATACAAAACGTGTAGTTGTGCCGAGCTTTTTGTAGTCTTTTCATTTTGTAGAGTAGCGTTCGTTTTTTCTTTCCATTTCAAATGCCCATTTGCATTCTGTAGCTGTATAGTTGAATCATCCAACATAAAAAGTCATTTGCATTTTGTATATAGTTGTGTACGTTGAGGTAGTATGAGGCAGTCGGAGCATCCATAATATAAAATGTCATTTGCATTTAGTAGCTCCTCCAAACTTGACCAAGAACAAGATCAATTTGTAGTTTGTAACGGGATGGGGATTCATTGGGGTTAGGATACAATTGGAACCCCATTTTGTAGACGGACTCTTGCGCGGCTGGGCATGCAGGGTCCAACCAGCGCAACTCCTCCCATTTGTGTTGAATCAGTCAGCTGCTTCGTGCGCCCTGTGGCATCCCTTCTAATCCCTTCTAATCAAAGGCTCTCAAAGGCATGGAGAACAGAAAGCAGATAGCACTGGCATCCACTGGATATTGCCTATTGAGATCCCATTGAGATTTATTCTATTGAGCCCATTTCTATCCCATTGCTATCCGCCGATTGCTATCCGATTGCTATCCGATTGCTATTTGCTATCCAGCGGCTGAGGTCTTGGCACCTGGACACCCGACTAACAGATCCCTGCTGGAGCTTCGATCCTTCGACCGTTGCTTGCCCTAGACACGGACTGGCTTTGGACTATGGGTCCATATCAGTTTCCAAATTGGGATAGTTTACCAGTCATGAAAGTCATGACAAATTGGGATAGAATTGGTGAGTTCATTTCTGCCCCCATGTTTTTTTTTGAGCTTTAGCCACATCATGTTGATACATCAAGTTGACTCCTCTGAGCCCGTCACCAAGGTACCCTTAGCAGACTGGATCCCACGACAAGGGAAGGATTCACATGATGCCTTGACCAAGCTCACAGATGAGATCAACCAAAAGTTGGGCCGACTCTTGGCACACAGCACACGCATCACAGCTGCGAGCCAACCCAAATCTAGCATCAATAAATAAATAGATCAATAAATAGATGAACAAATAAATAAATCCAGAGAGAGAGAGAGAGAGGGAGAGAGATATGTATATATATATATATATCAAGATGCACCAAAGGGGTCCACATTTCTGAAGACGTGACGAGCTGCACGTGAAACCTATGTCCAAGCCGGTGATCTAAGGCCAGTATGCTGAGGGCTACGAAGAAGCTCAGTCCAGAGCTTTGCTTTACATCCCCAAATTCACCAAACAACGCAAGATCTCAGTGGAAGTGTCACTGGAAGTCACATGAGCTCGGCTGTCTGCCTCATGGACGAGGTTGGCTGTCCGCCTGGTCGATTTCCTGGTGGCTAAGTCTGGTTGCGACGCGGTCCGTCCGGCCACAGTAGCTGCAATCCTGGAACGGCCCGGCAAGTGGGAAGTGTTGAGAACCTTGGCAAAGAAAAAAACTCATCGGCTGCGAGAAGCTCGAGAAGTGAAGGAAACCTTTTCAAAATGAAATTGATTGTTGAGTGAGCTGAGTGCTACTTAGCTGATTCTTCCATTTCGAACCAGTGCAAGTCCTCAGAAGCTACTAGTCCTCAGAATTCTTTGAAGTCGGTTTTGCCATGCCTGATTTTGACATCTCGAGGAAGACGCTTGCTGAATAAGTGGGGTGAGATGTGGGGCGAGGACATGCCAAGAGCTTCAACCACAAGCGATTGGGATTGGGGAGACTGTCTTGCGCACTTGATTTTCAAACAAAACCGCACAAAGCGTTTCAGTTATCTGCCATCAGTTCAGACGCAAATTCACGTTTTGATGTTCATTTCAACTCGTCAGGGTCCGATGCGTTCATATTTTGCTTGCAAGTCGTTTTATGTTGTTTTGAGGTGGCTTGGTTGCTCCGGGTCGGTCGGTTCTGTTGCTCGTCAGGAGACCGTCACTCGAGTTGCTCGTGGAATCCTTGAGCGCCTTGCATCCGGAGAAGAGGAGGAAGCGACGTGGCCGTTTGCATGTGCCTAGGCCTAGACTCAAGCTACCTTATTGATCATATTGATCCTTATTGCCGTTTTTGACACGTTGTTCACCTGAAATGCAAATGCCTTCCCCATTTTGCATATCCTCCGATATCCTCATATCACAGGCCGATGCTTCTCAGGTTGTGTCGAGGTAAATTGCGTTTGGTTTGGGTTGAGATGAGTTGAGATGGGTTGGAGTTGGGTTGGAGATGTTGAGACTTAGGCGCCGGCCAGCAGGCAGCCATGCTCCTGTGTGCTACGCCAGGTGGTGCCAGCAAAGCTGGGAGCCGACTGTAGGAAATGCTGACAGATGCTGACAGATGCTGACAGCGTTCAGATTGTTGGCCTTTTGTGGTGCAGTCTCACTGCCTGGCATAAAGGCAAGTGCCACGGGTGCAAAAAATGAAGCAAAAAACGCTCTGATCATTCTGGACATCTCGGAGCAATGTGAACTATTTAGTATGAACTTGAACATGCTGAGAATATCTGAGAATATTTGATCAACCATGCTTAAATGCGTAAACAACTTTCCCTCAAAGATTACTTCCTCTCCGCCAGAGTTTCAGTGGCAGCTGCGGCTCAAGTGTCAAGTCATGTCAAGCTATGTCAAGCTATGCTAATTGGGTAGAGGTGCCGGTCATTGACCTTTCGGACGAAGAGCCGCAGCTTGATGGGGACGGGGATGGAATCGAAGCAAGCGGAGTTTCAACTGGGGAAAATGGGCCGAAAGAAGTTCAATGGTTTCAACAAGTGAACACAGTGGAACCCGTGAAGCGCGCCCTGGAAATGGTGCCTGAGCTTGAGCCTGAGAGAGCCAAGCGCCATTGTCACATGACCCCAATGGAAGTGGTGAACTTCACACGAACCATGAGAACTCCTGGAACTGCAATCTTTGGTGAAGCCAATGAAGACTTCTTGGTGCATTTGCAGGAGAATGGTTTTGCCATCCTGCAAGGGGTCTTGGGTGATGCTGGCCATATCTTTAGAGATGAATTCTGGAAAGCGATGACAACAGTAGTTCCTGATCTTGACATTGGAAAGCAGCACACATGGAACTTTCCAAAGGGTTTTCGTGGAATTGTCACCAGCTATGGGCTCCCACATGCAGACTTTGCTTGGATGGTTCGCGCACATCCTCGCATCCGGGAGGCCTTTGCATCAATCTTTGGAACCAAGGACCTGGCGGTTAGTCTTGATGCTGTCATTGCACAAGCCCAGAACTCCAAGAGCAAACTTCCAGGTTGGCTCCATAAAGACCAACATCCAAACCACAAAGGTCTATCTGTTCAAGCGGTTTACACCCACTTTGGCAGTGGGCCTCATGATGCCGGGACCTGTGTAGTCCCTGGCTCGCATAAAGTCACATTTCCATGGGAATGGCGTGCCAAAGGTGACCATCTGAGAGCTCCAGAAGATGCGTTGCAGCCTGCTTCGCCTCTAAAGCCTGATGTCCCACCTGACAGTGTTGTTTTCTTCAACTCGCGCTTGCTCCATGCCAGTGTGTGCGGCACAGGGCACTTTTGTGGCCGACCCGCGCGTTTGGGGGTATGTGTTGCATATGCTCCAGTTGCGCGCCGTTCAGAGCAAACGAGACGAAAGAAAGAGAAGGCCTATCTGCAGGGGAAATGCAGTTCACATTGGCCTTGTGACAAATTTGCTCTGAAGCCTCCAATCAAATCCTTTCAGATTCTGAAGGGTGCTGTTAGCTTGCCACCGCCGCAACCATTGAAAGAACGCCTTTCACTTCTCTGAAAAAAGTGTCGAGATCTTGTCACCATGCTGAGACATCGACTCTGACATCATCTGACATCTCTGAGCGCAGAAAGCTAATAGAAAGCTAAGAAGTAAAGCTATACCATGCATTACCATGCCAACCTTTTCGCTTGAGGCGCTCGATGGAGCTTACAGCCCAACTGTGGAGATTTTTTGCCAGGCGGATTTTGTGCTTGGCTTTGCCACTTGCAGTTTGCGTGTCACATGTCTCGTGCAGCAGCCCACCATCCTGCCATAGCTTGCGTGATTTGAAGCACCTCGTTTCGTCAATCTTTAGGGGTTCGCAGCCTCTGGCTCAAAAGAAGGTAGATCCTTCCCGAAGGTGTAAGAAATCCATATCCGTAGTGCCTGGCTTGGATTTGTTTCAAGATGCAACTTTTCCCAACAGTTTCCAGCAGTTTACATACATACATACATACATACATGCATGCATGCATGCATGCATGCATGCCATCTATCCATCCATCCATCCATCCATGCATGCATGCATACATACATACATGCATGCATGCATGCATCCATCATACATACATACATACATACATACATACATACATACATACATACATACATACATACATACATACATACATACATACATACATACATACATACATGCATAATATGTATATATATAATATATATATACTCCAGATCTCCTATTGCCTGCTTTGTGATCTCAGGAGCATGTTGTGGCTGTGGGCCGCCTTTGCAGTTCAAGCAGTCCAGAGTGCTGAGTACAAGGCCGGTCATAAGGCTGTAAAAGCCTTGATTTGTTCAGATTTAAATCCGTTTGCCTTCTGAACTCAGTGGAGGCTGTGCACGCAGTCGCTGCCAATGGCAATATTGAGCCTCTTGGCTGCAGAATAGCCATGTTTGGGATGTGTTTTACAGTGTTTCCTCAGAAGCTGGGAAAAGATGGAAAACATTGGAAAACAAAAGTCATTTAGCCGTTTAGCTTTCATGAGATCAAATGTCACAAGTCATTCTTCGTGTCATGACTCCGTGTGAGCCTTTGAGGTCCCTTCATTCGGGCCCCGGCTACGTCCGCCGCGAAAGCCGATCCAGCCAGGACAAAGACATTGAGAGCAGCTGCACACTGCTGCAAGTTGCTGCAAGTGTCGAAAGATGCCTTGGTTTTCTCAAGAGAACATGGGGAAGCAGTTGGCGTTATCCCAAGGTGTTCATGTTTCAGTAGACCAACAAAACATCAACATCATCATCATCATCATCAGAAGAATCAGAAGCCAATCTTGCTGTATTGCATGGACACGCAGAAGTAACTGGGAAAGCCCCTGAAAGCTTAGACGTCTAACTTAGCTGTTTTTGACCAGGATGCAAGCTTTGTTCATCAAGAGCCTGTGAGCAAGGCCCTAGAACTTCATTGTAGTTTTGCCTCTCAAATGATCTTAGACGTGTTCATGCAGACACATGCAGATCTTGTCTTGTTGGAGGTGGTGGTGAGTGCAACAGAAGCCGTCTCGAATCTGACGGTGAAGTCTGGAGGGGTACCTTGTTTGCAGTGTGGCACGGCGTGGCACGGTGATGCACGTGTCGCCGATCTTATGGCTTGGTTATGCTTGGTTGCACAGCAATGGCAGCCGAGGATCAAGCGGTGACCGTGTGGAAGGAGCGCCGTTGCTGTGAGAATTGAGACGACAAAGATACGACAAAGATACATCCTTCTGCCGCTGTTCCCCACAGGATCAGGAAAAGGAAGCAGCAACCGCAGCTTGAACGCAATGTAGGACTTGGGGTGACTGTGGTCGAGATTTTGCCGAGAAACTTCAGCAGCGTAAAGTCGTATTGTCTTTAACATTCTTTAACTGTGATTATGTTATATTATGTTATTTCTTTCCATACTTGGCTCGTGCGATGTTCTGGCAAAGTGATGCAGTGATGTTTTAAGCCTGAGGCAATGTCATTGTCACTCCTCGCTTCCATTGGCTTCGTCCTGTTCCCTGGTCGCACCGTGCAATTCTGTGGATCCAACATGATCCAATCGATGCCAGAGACGAGAATGGAGAGACATTGGAGAGACATTGGAGAGACAAGAGAATGGTCATGCATGGTCATGATTTGGTCATGATTCCTGAATGTTTCATGATACAACATATTATATCATATTATCATATATTATCACGATATGATTTGAATCTGATATGCTGAGCAAGTTTGCAGGTTGGCCTCACTTTGCCATTTGCATCTTGTTGCTTTGCTTTCAGGTCAGTTTTCTACATGGTGAACACTTCAAACACCATGCTCCAGGTTCCAGTTGCCCTGCACTGTTTCAAGATATTTTCAAGATTTAGAGATCATGTGGAACATATGGAAGCGCTGCCCTTGGTTGAGGTGGCAACATGGAGGCTTCTCGCTTCCAGTATTTCGCTTTTCTCGGTCATACTCTTGTTCATGGCCGTCAGCTGAGACTGTGACTTGTCAATGGCCATTCCAGGAACCCAAATTGGAGGTACCTACCATTATATAAGGCCTATGTAAGGGCTATGTAAGGGGATATACCCCAAAATGTGGCCTTATGTGGTACAGTACCTCCAGTTTAGGATCCTGGAATTCCCATTGAACTTGTAGACGTCGCTTCCATTCCGTCCAAAAATGTCCAAAAGGCGAAACTTGTTGATTTGTTTACTCTCATTTACTTCATGTCCTTTTCTCATTTCATTACATTTCATTATATTTTCATCGAAGCTTTCATCTCACAATGGACAAGCACCATTGAGGTCATGAAGAAGGGATGGAAGACGATGATGTTTGCGCCTCAGCCATGCTTTGCCATGCGCCATGTGGAGACACTGTGTCGGCTGGGCACACGCATGTGTCATCATGTGGTCGCGTTTTGATATGTGTTGTTCATTTCAAGTGGTGAAGTGTTGATGCTTTCACTGAGAGGGGCTCTTCGGAGTCGAAGCCTTGGTTTTCACGACATTTTCAGCGTTGTGCCGCAGTACCTATCACGACGCATCGTGAAAGAAAGTGTGGCACGATGTGACAGAGGGAAGACAGTTGATCTTAGTCATTGGGAGACAGAGGTCCAGTGAAGCCAAAGTGATCAGCGATGTCCTTTCCTTCCTTCGGTACCTCATCCTTCTGTGGCTTGGCAGGGGGTCACTTTAGTCGTTTTTGGCACTACAGTAGATGCCAGTCGCTCGTTGCTCATAGTTGCCCTAGTTGCATCTTGCACCCTTCGGCTGCTTGGGCGGCTTGGACTCACCATGCCATTGGTTCCGGTTCGTAACCCAAAACAACCCGGGTTGCAGCAACCCATTGTGAATCTGACCCAAGGTTCCTGACACCGTTTCTGCCTATCACTCAGTTCGGCACGCGTTGCTACAAGTGTCTTTGACCCTATACAGTACTATACAGACTCATAGCACCTTTGCCCCGCTCTTGGCACACTCTGTGTTTCAGGCTGAAAAAGAAGATGGAGACTGAGAGCTTGAAACAGTGCATCCGCATCGTCGGTCAGGATCTCAAAAAATCTGACCCTTTGAGTCCCAAGCTGTGATCAGAGTGGTCTGCATGACCAGTATCTGGCAGTCGTGAGATCTAGTGATCCTAGTGGCTGGTCAATTCTCCGAGGCGTGCATTTGGTTGGCTTTGCAGGTGGGGAAAGCAAGTGAAGCAAGAC